AAAAAAATCTACTTTCACAATTGCGCATAAAATATAAGGAATATAAGTAGCAACCGTTACCAGTAACTTCATTTTTCTTTGCGCTCAAGGATGGTGAAATTTATGTGAATATTCATTTGTGATACTTTCTGAAAGAAAAACGGTCAAGAGTTTATATAATCCATTCTTGTCATTTTTCAACACAGCTGATACCTTTATCTTATTTCAAGTATGTATTGACAGAGTCATCGATGTAGTAACATGGATCAAAATCTGCACATCATATTGCAATTTGATAAATATGCTGAATATATGGAGGTCTGTAAGTGTCATATCGATAACCTAGTAATGGAAGTAACCACAAGCACCTTTTTGCCTGTTTTCGTGGGCCAGAAGCACTCAGCAGCCTTGCTGTGCTAAAGGACACAAATAATAAGCATGAGACATGTTCTCAGAATTATGAACACTTTTCGACTTTTTGCTCTCCAAAAGCGTAAAGTGGCTGTTTCGCTCAAATATTTGCGAAAAGTCTTTGAGAATCCCGTCCCAAATATAGGCTACTATCAGCCGCAGCCCAAATTTACATTTTAAGCCACGAAAACGTGGGTGACCAAGTGATAAGATGTTTACTTCCTCCTTGTGTAGAAAAAAAATCAAGTAATTGTTGATTATAATCGATTTTTTTTCAATGGAAGCATAATCATGTGGTCATCTGTATATGTCACAATTGTGATTGATTTTAATCATCGAAATCGATTATAATTAATTATATCAATATATAATCAATTAAAATTTATGATTGATCTGTGCTGGAACGACTCACTCATTCCTACGGTATTTTAAGAATGGATACAAATAGATGCAAAACGAACACGACACAAGAGAAAGGAGAAAAGATAAAGATGAATACACATGCATATATGAGAAGAAGAAAATAGATGGATGTAGATATATAGATATATGTCCCATATGCCCTAAAACATGATCATGAATAGTGGTGACGGATAAAATCCGTCACACACCTCTTCACCGTGATGCCAGTGCATCGGCACGAGCGTAAGTAAAACACGTAACTGAAACGATGATGAGATAGAATGTAGAAAAACAACAATAAGAACAATAAAAAAAAAACTAATTTGAGCATCCGAATAAGCAGAAAACTAATGATAATGCACAAGCATAGGTGAACAGAAAGAAAATAAATGTGGAAACCTCGGATTTAAATCCGAGAGTTATGTGTACTTCAAAAAGTGAATGAGACAAATTGGTCATCCTACAATGTGTGGATATAAAAATTAGCCTGGCAAACCCTTTCTATAAACACTTGAATTCTATTGGCTACTGCTCAACCAATAGGATTTCGGAGTGAATATAGCTCAGATTTGGACTCTTCGCCTTGAGTTATCCTAAAAAACTCGTTTTTCCTATAATTTGATTTCTATTGGTCAGTGCTCAACCAATGGGGCTTCGAGTCAAGTGGATTACAGATTCGAGTTCTTCATCCTAGAAAACCTCGAAGTATTATCTCTGTGATCGGAAGATAGAGCTCGAATTGTGAATCGATTAGGGCGCAGACAAAAATAGAACCGATTTCCGTTTGTTTATCTATGCAATAGGTGAGCTAGCCTTCTTGTTTCTTTATGTTTTATATACCATTTTGTAGCTCGTGAAATTCTCTATCGAATGGTGTATAACAGTTGGGGTTTTCTTTGACTATGATAGGGAAAGTGTTTTATGAAAGTGGGGATAGGTCGATTTTCCTATAGGAAGCCATAGGGAAAAAATGAGTATTTTTGGCAATAACTCAGGAACGGCTCGGCCAATTCTTCTCATCTTCGAACTCGACCGAGATATTGTTGAGACTAAACTGTATGGAAAATTTCATCGCGATCGGACTCTCCTTTCAAAAGTTATCGTGTAAACGGCCGGACGGACGGACACACTGACCGATTCTAGAGTGTACTCACTTTTTGAGTACACAAAAAATGAACTTATAATATGCTCGATTAAATATTCACAAGAAATTCTAGCAAAACTATACAAGTATAGCAACAAACCGAGATGAAGAAAAACAGAAAGCGAACATGCACGAATATTGGTGCTAACAATTGTGATTGAAACAGATACATACAACAGATGAGAAGAAGAGAATGAGAAAAAGAAAAGATTCAACTACAGTTCATTCTTTACGAGTGATAAATTTGACTCAGGATAATTCGATCGTTTTAGTATTGAAATCAGATGTCAGATCAGGTGATGGTAAATCGTTGTTCGGTGAGAAACGGTGGTCTGTTGTTGGATCGATAAATCCGTGGTGTTGAGGCATGTTAGACGTGAGTCAGTTTGGTGTTAGATGATGTGTTGGTGATTGTTAATGTATTCTGAAGGTGGAGGGTGTGGATGTGAGTTAGGTGTGAGTAGACCATCATCCTTCATCCATATACACACGCAAATACACATTCACATTCACAGCCTTCAGATTTATTACTGCAAAATAAAATAGTTTCTCATTTTCTCAACCAATAGACAGTTTTCAGCGTTGTCTATTCTAAAAATTAATTCTATCAGGCATGTCGAAATGATCGCCATTGACGGAAGATGTGGTCGCGTTTGGCTACAAAGGAGACGCCTTTCTTTTTCAAATAATCATAAGAGGGTGGAGTGTCAAACTAGAACTTCCTTCAGTTGTTGCAAATAATTGAATCATTTGCTAAAAACCTGCTCAAGTTCTTCGTCCACTGCGTTGCGCCCAATACAGTTTTCGATTTTTTTTCGTATCCAAGGACTCGCAAGTGCTTAGTCACACAAGGTTTGACTATAAGTTCTGCTTATCTGATTGAGGCATTCTAGGGAGAGGATTTCTATTCTAAGAACGATCAGTCATTCCATGGTAACTCTTTTGTCTCCTCGTATCTTACTCCATGGGCAAAGAATTTTCCTTCCACAAATAATTTTCCTGGAGCATTTTTAGAGCTTCCAACAGCATTTTAAGTCTTTTCTAACATTGTACAGTACCTTTTCTTCCCTGGGAGATATCATAGATAGGAAGACACCACACCATTGGGATCACTTTTGCCGCAACTTTCATTTCTTGCACAATTAAAATCATGCGCCTGCTCACAGTTTACGATAGATACACAACAGACATGCTTCGACGCGCACACTATGCCCATACACGTTGACAAACACTCCACAGAATTCTATTTCCTCGTACAACTAAAGCATTGAATGACACTAAGGCTCAATTGAATAAGAATCCTGATTCTTTTCTCAATGTGCGGCTGCGTTTATAGAGACAAAGATGATACAACGTTCTGATATTTCAACAATTTCATCTCGTTTTTCTTTTCCAACATAACAATATCTGTCCGAATTCTGCGAATTCTGAACTCTTGGGGAAATCTGAATGCAAGAATTAACATAATTGGAGTGACAGGACCAAAAAGACACCAAGGAAATCAAGGGATCCACGTAACTCAAGACAGTTAAAGAGCCTAAAGAACTCAAGAAACCCAAAGAAATCCAGAAACCTCAGGGAGTTAAGGAAGTCAAAGAATCCAAGTAGCTCAAGGAATTCATGGAATCCAAGGAAGTCAAAGAACCCAACCAACCCAAGGAGGTCAAGAAAGTCA